CAGCAATTCCCCAGCTGAAAGAAACGAAAGTACGGTTTGTCACTGACGTGACGAAAACTCACCCTTGGTTAGAACAAAACGATAACGGAGACATTGTGTGCATTTTGTGCTTGAGAACAGGAAAAAATATAACGCATTTACACGTGGAAATGCCAATTTTCAAACAACAACTCGGGACAGAAATGTTGAAGTGTCGGAACACTAACGACCAAATGAGGACATGAAACTTAGTGGAAACTTAAATGCTCTAATATGGCACACCAGACGTGTCGAAACCCTCTTTGAATTCACAAGATATTTCTAAAGTTCGCAAAACCTTTTAAACTTCGCAACACATGTTTAAACTTCGCATGACAAAGCAAACTTTAAAAAGGTCTTGCGAAATTAAAACGATATTGCAAAATCTAAAGAGGGTTTTCACCTGTCCGGAGTGCCATACTCTGACACCTCACGGGGCGGTCGGGTAGCCTTGTGGTTAAAGCGTTCGCTCGTCACGCCGAAGACCCGGGTTCGATTCCCGACATGGGTACAATGTGTGAAGCCCATTTCTGGTGTTCCCCGCCGTGATATTACTGGAATATTGCTAAAAGCGGCGTAAAACCAAACTCACTCGCTCACTCACTGACAGGTCACAGAATATGCGTTTTAAAAACGATCTGATGCGATTATACGTGCGTTTGAAGGTGTGGAGTGGCTGGTCCAAACAATGTAGCATCGCTGAAATTTCGTTCTTTGCTCAACTTCCTGGTTTGTCAAGAAATTGGTGTCAAAAGTATGACTGTGGGTCAAAGTGCAACCTACAATTCAAGGGTTTAGGTTGAGGAATATCAGGTAAATATTTATTCATTTTTTACTATAAAAAAACAACAACAAACAAATACGGTTTGAATGTTCAACAAAAACGAAACATATTTTTGATATAAAACAAAAAATACAAATACATAAAGTAAGTATTCAAACATCTAGATCTATATATTTTTCGCGAAAATGTTAACGTAACTATCCTGCCGGTGGCATCCGCCACAAACACACGCAAAAGCAAGGCAATTGTTCAGCTGAAAATAAAACCGTAAGAAACACGAAAAATGACGACCAGTCAAATCAGTCGGTGTACTGTGAATGTATATAACGAAAGACGACTGTATTCGGGTTTCCATGGGATATAGAACAAAATGGCGGTCTGCATGTGTCTATCGAGATTTCTTGACAACTTGAACCATATATAGAACATTCTACCATGAATTTGGAATTTACTCGATTCTGATTGGTCAATCAGAGGCTATTAAATCACAATGAACCCCCTCTGATTAAAACAGATGGTTTGACGGCCGCATCACCGCGGAAGCTAATATTCATAGAATAGTACTTTTTTCAGTCATTGTCGGTAGGCATATCTAAATAATTATATCTACAATTACAGGTTACAATATCCACAGATGCGGTTACTACAATATTCAAAGGATGTGTGGCAATACATTTCGTGCAGAAAACACGATAAAAATCTACAAAGGGAATGTATTTACGTTTTGGAGACAACAGAGAGCTTGGAATTTGGGCGCTTTTCTATATACGACTGTGACGCAGCGCGTTCGGTTCCAAATTCAATTTAGCGCGGTTAAATCTACAGGTAACCTAGCTCTACATTGAAAGCACAGTATGTTTATCTCCTAATTGTACAATAACTATTGCAGAGCACTTTAAAGACATCGTAAATGAAACAGTCGAAACTGTCCCCTTTCCTTTAAAAAATTCGCGAAATCGGACACAGTGCCCGTGATGATCGAAAAAAATAAATATATAATGAGCCCGCTTACATTGCCTAGGATCCAACCATATCTTTTTGTTCTATTTTCCAGTAAAGTATGTGGTTCAGTCTGCCTATCTGTTGTGCAGTCAGTTGTTCACCGCGGCCTCCACGAGGTGCAGTGGAGACAAAAAACGAGATCGCAACCTGGTAAATAGCGATGACTGGTTTAATTTGTTTCAAGAGAGCATAGCTGGCGTAACTGCAAGTGCATCTCCATTCATCAGTATTCTGGGAGTACCGAAATATCCAACGCCATGGTGCTGTAGGCCAGAATACTGGATGCTGACACTCTTATAGCTTCCATTTGGTTGGTAATGGGGGCGGTTGGTAGCCTGGAGGTTAATGCGTTCGCTCGTCGCGCCGAAGGCCAGGGTTCGATTCCCAACATGGGTAAAGTGTGTAAAGCCCATCTCTAAAAGCCTCTGAAGCCTCTGCTAAAGGCGACGTTAAACCATACTCCATCAATCATTGGTAATGCTACAGTTGAAGGTACATCTTCCACAGCTGAGATCCTTAACATCATCATACAGTACCTGCTGAAAAGAACATCATCGGGTTTGGTAATGACGGGGCTTCCTTGATGACAGAATCATAAATTAGGGTAGGGTAGCCTTATGGTCAAAGCATTCGCTCGTCACGCTGAATACCCGGGTTCTAGTCGTCCCCACATGATTACAATGTGTAAGGTCATTTCTGGTGTTCTCTGCCGTGACATTCCTGGAATTGCTAAAAGAGGCTTAAACACTCCCTCCCATCAAACCTAATGGATACATTTGAGAATAGATTTCAGGATCTGTATTGTTCCAAAATCAGCAAACAGAACTGCTTTAATGAAACTAATATAATCTGGTAAGTATTTGATGGCCCCAAGTTAAAGGTCACGAAATTTATGAAATCAGATGGCTCGCGTTTTGTGATGCACTTTATGCTATATATCACATTTGGGCACCACTAGTCAAATACTTGCAGAAATACAAGAAGTTGAAACACTGTGTTTCTTGGATCACATCACAGATTATAGATTTGTTTCTTTCTTGCACATAATGATGGACATCGTTCCTCAACTGACAAAGGTGTCATTTGTGCTACAGAAATCAGATCCGGAAAACCGCTATCACAGGATCATGAAAGAGAAACGCAAACCTTCTACAGAAAAAAACAAAAAACAAAAAAACCTACAGTGTATGGGTATTCAGAGCTGGGGTTCAATGGTGTAAAGTGCACAGAAGCTCTGTGGGGTAAGCAAGTGAGGAAAATTACCAATAACCAAACATAAATTTGTAATAACGTTTAAGGATCTGAAGACAAGAAGATTTCCCAAGAATTACTCAAAGGTTGCTGGTTGTTTTCATATGTTTGGTTGGCGGAATCTGTTCTTTCATTCAACAGGAGAGCACGTAGAATACTTCACCAACCCATTCGTGCCGTAAAAGGCGACTATGTTTGTCGTAAAAGCCGACTAACGGGATCGGGTGGTCAGACTCGCTAACTTGGTTTGATGCATGTCATCGATCCCAATTGCGTGGATTGATGCGCATGATATCAATCACTGGATTGTCTGGTCCAGAATCGACTATTTACAGACCGCCGCCACATAGCTGAAATATTGCTGAGTGTGGCGTAAAACAACCAATCAACGTAGAATACGGAAGCGGTAAACTAAAAATCATCAATGATCACTTTGGATCTAGGGAGCCCAAGGTGGTAACTGACAATAACCTCTACCGCTTTGTGTCGCTCATCTGGAAGCAAAGTTGGATCGATTCGTGCACTTTCTCCAGCGATCACATGCTAGCTAATGTCATATCTAGATTTAAACCATGCATTAGAATGCACAAGGTATACAATGTCTTCTTCTGCTTTGATAAGTTCTTCTGTGGCGGTTAGATTCAGGGCTCAGGCACTGGAAAACCAGGGGAACAGGGCTGATTATATGTCAGTATGCCTGGCTTCACGGACCTTCTTATTGTTAGTTAGAACAGCATGCTCTTCACATTTGTCATTTTTGTTGATGATCTCACCAACCGTTCTGTTTTTTTACAGACCGCCCTTCTGTGACAGGAGTGACTTTCATGTATAACAGAGGAATTGTCCGCTTAAATGTTTCTTTGTTAAATAGACAGAAGAGTCATTGACTTCTCTTGAATATTGATAGGCGATGTGTCGATCCATCAGAGGCTGTCACAGAAAAGTTTCGTTTTCGTTTCGTTTGTTTGTTGTTTAACGCCGCATTCATCAGTATTCAAACTATATGACGGCGGTCTGTAAATAATCGCGTACGGACCAGACAGTCTAGTGATTGACATCATGAGCATCGATCCACGCAATTGGGATACGATGTCATGCATCAACCAAGTCAGCGAATCTGACCACCCGATCCCGATAGTCGCCTCTTACGACAAGCATAGTCGCAATTTACGGCAGGCATGGGTTGCTGAAGACCTTCACTGGAAAGTATCAAGTTCAGTTTTAAAATTTATCCCAATCATTCAAAATATATTAATAATGTTTCTTTCAACCTGTTTGAATATGAATGATAACGATCAATGATTAATTCAGATTGGTCATTATTGGTGATCATGTTCCCTTCAAAGTTGTATTAAATAAAGTCAATGTGACGGTGTTACACTGTATACGTCCATACAGTCAAAGCATTGACAGTCACCACGTCATGTATGAAAAGGTTTCCTCACAACCGCAACGCCTTAGGTTTGGTATTCTGTCAGAAATATTGACTGGTAGAGGGAATATATGGTCAGCCTAACTTCATTTCTGTAAATATGACATTAATTTCATTATTGAATCCAATCTTTTCAATCGCGTTATCACAATAAAACATTTGAATGAGAGTTTTAAAAATATTTACTGATAATGCACATATTTCAGGATTTCATACACAATACCAAACGGACAGCACTATAATGCGCGCGCCAAGGGTATAGCGCAACTTTTGCGCTTCAGACAAAGTGAAACCTACAGAGACCCTTCTGCAATCATATGAAATGTCGGCTAAAAGCAGAATCCATTTGAAGCTAACGTTACACTATTCAATAACTATATATGCACTGTGGATTGTGCAGATTGATGCTCTCGAAGTCAAATATTTACAAGCCACCGTCTGATAGTTAGTTGTTATGCGACGGTAAACGGTTCATTTGAAATGCTTCCCCATCGGTTTTATTATTCATGCCAGTCACAACAGCGAGGCACTGAGAGACGACCATTCACATCCTCACTGGGAAACCGTAGTGGCAAGACGATACACAGATCATGGATATACGACATGTGGCCAGGGTTATAGCGCTCATATCATGGGTCAAGTTTGGAGGTGAGCTTAAACATTCTAATGATTACGAAAGCGTTTAACTCTAATTGTTTTTCTGTCTTTTTACCGACAGGTTATCAAACTATTGGAACAATCGACGCCAGGGAACAATTCTGTATAAATGTACCTTAAAACCAGAAGAGATTGGTTTTGTAAATATGGACCTTTTCAGATTGGATTCGAACTCATTCCTGGAACACTAAAGGAAGATAAACAATCCTTATATGTTCATAGAACTGTGTTCCAACTCATGACAAGTGGGGAAGTAATTGTATCATGACTACACTCACCTGGGTACCAGTTCCAAGATCTGCTGTCAAAGAACACCATGTTCGTCCAGGAGTCACAGTTCTGAGAGTTTTATATCAGGAGTAAATGTCTGGGTAGGATACTGTAAGCTGGAAACCATTGTCTTCCTTCCATTTACCGATCCCATGAAGATCAGGGTTAGAATTAGTCTTCAGCAACCAATGCTTGTCGTTAGAGGCGACTAACGGTATAAGGTTGTCAGGCTCGCTGACTTGGTTGATGCATGTCCCCGATGCTGATATACAATATTGATACAATTGTTGGCTTATTTGGGAAGCACACCGACATCTGCATTAACCATTGACACCAATGGAATACTGAACGTATATAAGGATGATGCTCTTTTGTCACAGATGCCAATAGAGCAAGGGTACTTGCCCTGCTGACCCGTGAAGATCCGGGTTAGAATAGGTCTTCAGCAACCCATGCTTGCCGTAAAAGGCGACTATGCTTGTCGCAAAAGGCGACTAACGGGATCAGGTGGTCAGGCTCGCTGACTTGGTTGATGCATGTCATCGATTCTAATTGCGTGGATCGATGTTCATGATGTCAATCACTGGATTGTCTGGTCCAGACTCGATTATTTACAGACCACTGTCATTTAGCTTGAATATTGTTGATTGTGGCAATAAACAAGAAACAAACCATTAAATAAACTTTTATAACGCCTCTTTAACTTGACACTTTAATGTTACGCAATGATCAACAAACATAACAGTGTAGGAAATATACAGTGTGTCCATTTTGTTTTGAAATGTTGTTTTATTACAGTTGACACGGCGTCTCAAGAAGATACACACCGACTACTGAACACCTTGTTCCACAACTACAGTGTATTTATCAGGCCCACACACGACCAGGACATGCCAATCAGTGTGAACGTAGTGCTCGTTATGGAACAGATGCAGAGTCTGGTAAGTCGGAAAGATAGTCGTAATTTACAATTCCACGAACAGATCATGACTCTTGACTCGCAATTACATGTATTAAGTAAGAATATTAAATATCCTGGAGCTGGAGGCGGGCATCACTCTTCTTGTCTTAAAGGGAGAGACAAACATTTTTTTTTAACCACAATACATTATTTTCATAAAAATCACCGTGCCATTACACCGATTGTTTTATGTGTGTAAAACTTGAAAACGAATTATCCAAGAGCCCCTACACACACCCAACTCCCAAGAACGTCAAATGATCGGCCCTAGTATTGTATATTTCTCCAGGTAGCATTACATGTGTATAGCCATATTCACACAGCTTCCCTTATGAACACGTTATTTACATTTCATCTGGTGTCACTTAATATTGTTCAAATATTCTGCACACTCACGGAACAATATAACTCCTTCTAAATGGACCTATGCAGTTAACAGACAAAGATACTGTATGCGAAGGCTTGGGACCACACCCATTTATCTAAATGGCAGGCTTAAATCATATCTTATGCATCCTACATTTGTCGAATAATGGCATTCGTCGGAGATATTACTTAGTAAGGATAAGACACATGTACTTTAATTAAGGAACATCATAGTTCTGTCTCCAAACATGACTCTAAATCAGCTCTATCAGACCATATCCGTGACAACCTAAGCCACAGCATCCAGTGGGATTAAGTCAAAGCCCTCACCACGAACCGCAAACACTTCAAAATAGAAAAAACAAACTACAAGAAGTCATCAACATCAAAAGACTCCAACCATCAATCAACCGTGACCAAGGCTACATACCACCGGCGTACCACCAACTCATCAACGACGCCAATCAGTCATAATCCTTTTGTTTGTTTACATTACTGGCTTCATCGGCCAATATGTTTTACCTTCTGTGTTCATAACCGGCTTCTCCACTTCAGTGTAACTGCATCTTAAACCTCCTCAACCGTATAAACTCTGCCTCCTATCCTGTATATATATATACCTGCCAACCATACTCTGTACATCACTTGCTTGATAACGGTGTTACAACCTACACCGAAACGTCGCTGTAATAAAAAAGTTGTTCGTCCATATATCTTATCCTTACTTAGTACTCCAACTTCTAAATGCCTCTAGAAGGAGACATACTTGTTTCTTATTTTCCTTTGGTTATCCGTGTTGACTTTAGGTTTCAATGTTCAAATTTACATCATAATTACCAATATGATCCTTAACATTCACATCAAGGCAAATGTTCTATTTCATATTTATAATTGCAGTGGATGATACATCAAATCACACTGGCTTGTCCTTTGATTTCAACATATATTAACGGAAAAATAGCTGTGCTTCATAAAATGTGGTGCAAATGAACATAACAATATAATAAGTGGTTATTTGTTGTGCTCCCTCAAGCATTTCAGTACGGTTCTTCCACCAATTGGTCTCTACTCATGATTGCTCGAGCTGTTAATGTGGCAGCTTGGTCCCGATTCCATAGATGCACCAACCGCATGTGGTTGACGTGACGTCACACGTGGATGACCGGCCCGTGGCAAGTCATGAGTGTTGCTCTGCTGTACTTAACCTCTCCAAAAATATTGGGTCTCGATAAACATTATATATTTTCAGAATATATTTATTTTTATTGAACTTTATATGAAACACAGTTGCTTTTTCCGTTAGTATATATGAACAGTCGTCGATAAAAATGGCAATACACCGATAAAACTCTCACTTTCCCTACTTAAATCGATAATATTGATGTCAAAACACTTTGAAAAGAATTGCATTTGAAATGTATCATCTTATGAATATCTCTTGCAGGACATGAAAACGGAAACAATGAAGTCGTTGGGATTTTTCAGCATTGTGAGTAGCATTTATATTCGACTCTTATCAGATCGAAACAATATTAGGAAGGTGTCTGCGTTTGGAAAGAAGAAACACACAAAGGGATGTCAAGATTAAGGACTATACTTTAGTCTTAAGACAAGTCCTTATTCGAACAGTACCTCTCATACATATACCAACAGTGTCCGCGTCGTTTGGAGTGATGCAGGTTTCAGACGTTACCTCATTGGTATCACGGGTATGGTGCTCACAAACCTAGAAACATAACTGGTGAAAAACGGGATTCGAACCCACGATCTTAGGTTTCTGGCGTGCCCTAGGGACACAGCTGTGTCATAGCGAATTGCGGGGCCTTAGACGACTGGGCCACCCGTGTCCCGTTCATATAGTAGTTGTAGTTCTAGTTTCTGTTATTATTGACATTACATATTTGAAAAAAACTCCTCATACTTTTTACAAATGTGCAAAATTTGATACAATTGTTGGCTTATTTGGGAAGCACACCGACATCTGCATTAACCATTGACACCAATGGAATACTGAACGTATATAAGGATGATGCTCTTTTGTCACAGATGCCAATAGAGCAAGGGTACTTGCCCTGCTGACCCGTGAAGATCCGGGTTAGAATAGGTCTTCAGCAACCCATGCTTGCCGTAAAAGGCGACTATGCTTGTCGTAATAGGCGACTAACGGGATCGGGTGGTCATGTTCGCTGACGTGGTTCATGCATGTCATCGATCCCAATTGCGTAGATCGATGCTCATGTCAATCACTGGACTGTCTGGTCCAGACGCGATTATTTACAGACCGCCGTCATATAGCTGGAAAATTGCTGAGTGCGGCGTTAAACAACAAACAAACAAAACTTGCCCTGCTTTGAGAGTAGGGTCCTATTTAAAAAGGACACTCATTGATCAGACTACACACAGACATTTATTCTTGTTGATATTAATTATTGTATGTCACTTCTGTAATTGTTACGAAAGTGATACGTATATGACTACCCTATATTGAGGTACTAGTATATGTGGTGATGTTATACTGTGAGGTATAATAGAATTATCTGTAAATATGATAAAGTCTTTTCAACAACAAACACACAGCTCTCTCAAATGACAGATTGCTTCTATCGCTAAACATATCAGCATCTTGGAATTGTTGCCGGTAAATACCTGCCACTAATGAGAAGCGCATGTGGACTTTGTCATGTGCTTGTGCGAGATAACGCGAATCTTGGGATACAAAATAATGTATTCTTTCTTGTAAAGGACGAGCCACGCTAAAGTCGCGCGGTGCACCGGCAGCAAACATACTCGCTTCGGTAGTCATGTTACCCACTCTGACGCAACGCGAAAGCAATAACATTTAAAAAATAAAATAAACATGTTTTTTTTCTGCCCAAACGCGAAGGAGAATCCCCTACTTGTGACCTCAATTCCAGACAGATAGACAACTTTGTTAATATAAGTTGAGATATCACAAAACAACTGGTAACTGGTGTACTACATTCATTTTTTTATTCGCAAACTATCTTTTGGTTACTCTTTACTTTGGTTGTGACCCGTGGAGATCCGGGTAAGAATGGGTCTTCAGCAACCAATACTTGTGGTACAAGGCGACTTTGCTTGTCGTTAGAGGCGACTAACGGGATCGAGGGGTCAGGCACGCTGACTTGGTTGATCGATGCTCATGATGTCAGTCACTGGATTGTCTGGTCCAGACTCGATTAATTACAGACCGCCGTCATATAGCTGGAATATTGCTGAGTGCGGCGTAAGACAACAAACAAACAACCAACTACTTTAGTTGTTATGATCTCTTTTAAAGGAACTGCAGTATGGTTTGTATATTTTCCAGTCGTTTTCTGTTCATGGTATTTTGGCCTGTAACAGTAGAGTACTCTCTTGTTAAGGGCCAGTGAAAACTTTATTTCTTCGTCGCTTTAGGCATGTTATTATTGATCCTACTTTTATGTCCTCGTTTCATAAAACCTTTATACAAAGAATTTTACCTTCAGTTTCCACTGCTGGTATGGGGGTCTGCCTGTTTTAAACAAACATATAAATCACAAAATTGTAAAAAATTCTCGCACATAATTTCCTTTGACAAAATATCGACATGTATTATGAGCAGCAAATTGTAATAAACGGGCACAATATTTTAAGTGACAGTTCTTGTTTTCGGACTATGAGCTTTTTTACCTTCTGGTCGCGATCGTCTACTGCGCATGCCAAATATGAAAACAAACAGAGCCTCCAATCATTCATACTAGTCAGTATTCGTTTACTGATCGAACAATCCAACCATGTGGTATTTCTGTTAGGATGTACCACTTTTAGTTAACTTGAATATTGTTCAATGCATACCTCGCGTGCTTCCCTTTTAAAAGACTTTTCCTCATCTATTGATGTTATGTCATTTGATGTTCATATGTGTGTCTGTGTATATAACTTAAATCAGAAATCTGTTACTTGTTTTTCTTGGATTTTAAGGGGCGGTCGGGTAGCCTAGTGGTAAAAGCGTTCGCTCGTCACGCCAAAGACCCGGGTTCGATTCCCGACATGGGTACACCGTGTGAAGCCCATTTCTGGTGTCCCCCGCCGTGATATTGCTGGAATATTGCTAAAAGCGGCGTAAACCCATACTCACTCACTCTTGGATTTTACGATGTAACCCGAAGTCTTATTGTATCCTCCCATCTTCTATGTATCCACATCTAGTGGTTTTGTTTGTGCTGCCTCATCATCAGTGTGGGGTAAACACACGTTGCTTTGACGTGCTGCTTTTTATTTGGCCCGACCTTTACACGGGCACTGAAGCTGAGCATACTTTAGTCAAAATAACATTATCATCACCATCAAGCTTTGTGAGAGGAACCCGTGGACGCGTCATACCAATAGACGTAAAAAGATAGTACCCTGCCTGGCTTTCGGCATTAAGGGGATAAAACAAGAACTGTTCGACTAGGAGTCAGTTTACTGTGTCTGAGGGTTAGCCATGTTAAACTGCGGCATGGTGTCTCAGTGGGCTAGTACTATCAAACTGGCATATAAGTTGGGACAAGAACTTGCAGCTGCATACACACGCGCATGCACGTTGCTATGGAAATGCAATAACCTTGAACGCGACGTTAAACCCTCATATATCTCACCAAACAGAAAGGCCTTCTGAAGCTTATGTAACCATTATATCTTCCTAACGTTTACATTACTCGCGTTATCTGTAATATATTTGTTTGAACATTTCCCGACTCAGACCTGGATGGACGAGTTTCTGGTATGGACACCAGAGGAATATGGGGATGTGGAATACATTACTTACGCTGCAAACATGATATGGACACCTGATTACGTCATTGACAATGAGTAAGTAATTCAATGCAATAATGATTACTTTCACCAATACTGATTCACTATATTTTTTAGAAATTGACTAAATACTGAAAAAAAGTGATTTTTCTGTTTTCAAACATTGAACTCTTTAGGCAGAGCTGATGACAAGCTGATCGTGATGCAAAGCAGATGTGGCAGCTGCTAGATGTGAATTCATGTCTGTCTTGACCTGACCACATAGAAGGAGAAAGAATAACGAGAACAAACTTATCACGGCCAAACGTTCAGGTCCACTAGAGCCAGGAAGTAGGCCCTAAATACGTTTAACCAAGACCTGAAATAATACAGAAAATACATATCAGTGATAAATTAGATACCTCCGTACGACTCTTGCCTAAAGGTTCTTTTGATCGGGGTTATAGCATTCAGTGCCTTTGTAAAGCTTTCAAAACGGTTTATCGTAGACATGTGGAGGATAGTTCCAAATGTGATCAGTGAACAGAATGATGTTCGATGCAATACCCTATTTGGACATATATTATGTTCAGGTAAACATTTGACTTGCCCTTGCATGTGTTTGGGACGGGTGAATCAGGATACGCTCACATTTTCGCGAAAACCTGGATTCATCACTATTTGACTGTGATTCATAAACATGCTTTATGAATCATGCAGTGGACTCTTAAAATTGAGTAATGGATTTCTTATAACCATCAAGTACTAGTATCCAATTTCCTTCCCCCTGAACAAGTAATAAAGGAGACCAGTGAGACCGCCTCATCTGTTTCATATATGGATCAATGCATTAAGAGTCCAAAAACAAGACACTATGGCAAGAGGGATGACTTCAAATTTTCAATAGTCAACTTTCCATTTCTGTCGAGCATTCCAGCAGCTCCAGGCTTTGGCATTTACATTTCACAACATTTGAGATACAATCGAGCATGCTGTTTGTACCAAGAATACAAAAAGCGTCACACGACTCTTGCTCAGAAGTTTGATCAAGGTTACAACATTCAAGACCTCAGTATAGCTTTCAAAAAGGTTTATGGTAGACATGTGGAGGACATTTCCAAATTTGACGCATCATTGACAAAAATGATGTTGATGCAGTTCCCTATTTTGACTTGAATTTTTTTCAGGTGAACAACTGACTTGCCGTTGCATGTGTTTGTGACGGGTGCCTCCGAATGGGGCAGGATACGCTCACCTTTTCGCGAACACCTGGGCCCATTTGCACAAAGCGATCTTAGCGCTAAGATGATCTTAACTCCCATACTTTAACATAGGCATACGATAGGATTAGCGCTAAGATCGCTTTGTGCAAGTGGGCCCTGGTGCCATCACTATTTGATGGTGATTCATAAACACATGCTCATGATACAGTCGGATTTGTACAATCGAGATTTCTTATGAATATGGAAATGGTTTTGTCGCTTTTAATTATTATTATTATTTATATTACTATAATTATTATAGTTAGATGTTATTTATTTGATGTGTATACGTGACATTGGTGTTGCAGTGTTAGTTTAAAGAAGCGTATGGGAGACGACAAAAGTTTGGTTCTAATCAAATCGAACGGCAAGGTCATTTGGGAACCAGGGTACGTCGCCACAACAACCTGCAACGTCGACATTACATACTTCCCATTCGACACACAAGTGTGCTCTATAAACATACTTTCATGGATGACAACAAATGTGCATCAACTCACGACTTCGACAACGGGTGTATCTCTGCAGGCGTATATTCAAAATGGAGAGTTTCATTTGATCACTGGATGGGTGAATTCAACATCGCACACAATGACTGATATTGAAAATGAAACACTAGAGGGTTTAGATTTTTTCGTCGTTCTTAAGCGGAAGACAACCTTCTTCTGGCTGTGTCTGGTGTCCCCACTGCTGGTGTTCCCCTTGCTGAGTCCTCTGAGTTTCCTGGTTCCTGCAGACAGTGGGGAGAAGACGACCCTGGCCATCACATCTCTACTATCAGTCTTTGTGTTCATGTCGTCCATCTATGACACGTTGCCTAAGCTGTCGAACCATGTCTCACGGTTTGGTACGTAACGCTGTATATGAATAATCTGTCCCCTGTTACTTATTGATGACTTGGCCTAGTGGTTTAATATTTCGCTCGTCAATTTGAAGTATCGGGTGCGATATATGAAGGCCACCAGGTGTCCCCTGATACTGCTCGAATGAGCCCCTGAGGTGGTCGGGACTGAGGGTCAATATGTTCGTATATTGACCTCTCCAAGAGTATTCATAAGTTTTGTTATACCGAAATTCACTTTAAAGTTTATGAAGCATTTAAGCCGTCCCCTGTAAGCTGAGAACCGTAATATGTTTACGTGCCAGACGCCATCTTGTTTTCTAGCAGACGAGTGAATATTCATCACGTGACAGGCCAATACTGATCATGTGACGAGTCAATACTCGAGGTCAGTGTCTGTCACATGATGTGGGGTCAACATTGAAATTTATTGTTTCGTTACCTGGTAAGGATTAACCAATTGAATTGCAAGATTCCTAATAGAGATATAACACAACGTATTAGCTGTGACATAGTACGTTTATGTCAGCTGAATTACCATATAATTACGTAATCAAACTTCGTTATTAATGAAATATTAAGGAAACATGATCAAAGAAGAATGGCAAAAGGTAAACTTTGCATGCTAAACAAATATTTGTGTTTATATGTAGGATGTCATCCACATGGCAATATTTTGCCGTCAATTCTATAACTTGAATCATTTGTTGTAAAAGCTTGTTTAATAACCTGAGCATTTTAGCGATTCCCAGGCTAAGTCTAAGCGGCATACAATCACATTGCGCTTTTCACTGCTAAATATCATGATCATCTCTCGTTCAGAACCGGTTCGCACCGATTTTGCTTCTTGGTTTGTCTGCACCATACTCAAAGGTTTCACCAAAGTGGTAAACGTCTAAGACCTGCATCACTTCCTCTTTTCCTTCCCGTCAAGCTTACAAGCTATGATATAAATGGAATACAGTTCAAAGCGACGCCAATCCTAACTCACCCGCTCACTATAGTTAAGGATGTCACAAACAGATAGCCTTACGTAATCGGTTTAAAAGGTCCACTTCAGTGAAGTTTCGTTTTGGGGGGACATGTTTTATATCTAACTTCCTCATGGTCTTTGTTATACTGACGGGGGGCACGGGTGGCCCAGTCGTCTAAGGCGCCGCGTTTCGCTGTGCAGAGTTGCGCCCCTTGGGCTCGCCAGAAACCTGTGATTGTGGGTTCGAATCCCGGTTCGCCCCGATTATGTTTCTAGGTTTGTCAGCACCATACCCGTGCTCGTGGGTTTCACCGAAGCGTTAAACGTCTGAGACCTGCATCACGTCGGGCTTTCCTCCCACATTAAGCTGACACGCCGTGGTGTAACTGGAATACTGTTAAAAGCGGCGTTAAACCCAACTCACTCACTCACTGTTATACTGACGATGGGTCACATAGGTGATACCTCCTCGGAGTTATAGATTATCTGCCCCTTGTTCATGAATGTAGAACTGTCTTTGCCCTGTGCACAGGCCGGGTACTCCATTCATTGAAAGAACCCGTAAATCTGAGTAGCTAGGTGTTTCGGCTCTGCATATCTGATAGATACAAACTGCACAATTTCATGCTTGGGTCGATCTTTTATCTATGAAATATTCCGATAAACCGTGAAACATCGTTAATCCGGGCGGCGTGGTGCACAGTGAAGTCGTCCGCGTGAGTGATATTCCTTTGGGTATATATTGGCCGAGAGTAACTTTTCCGGAGAGTATCATGGTCAGTCAAATTGTCCGGGATAGTACGTTGATGATGATGATGATGATGATGATGATGATGATGTCGAAGATTTAACGAGCGCTTTCGGAGGACCCGATTTCGGGCTTTCCAAACTAACAGGGTCCCGGTTAGCCATGTTATAGCATTACACATTATAATTACTTTGTTTATTTTTTAAAACCTTTCACTGACACAAGATAACTGTGTATAATACTACCTGTTTTTGTTTCAGTGTTACTGGCATCCATACAAAGTTTTATCAGCTTCCTCTCTGTAGTAGGCAACGTCATCATTTTGTGCATATACAGACTCCCACCCGAACACCGCGTTCCCAGGTGGATGACGTGGCTTGCAGCTAAGCGCCAGGACTTAGCGCCTGAGAGGATGAAAAGTAACGAGGAATCCGAACTATTCAACAAAAGTGATATGAGTACCAGGGGCAAAGGTCGTGAAAATGTACCATTGACTTGGCCGGTGGTCGCTGAATTTCTGAACAAAATATGTTTTGTTGTTTTTCTATTGGCTGTGATACTTGTGACTGTAATAATCGGGGTATTGATGTCTTTTTAGTTCAGTGGGACATTATTTTACACCTACTACTACAACAACAGCAACTACTACTACTACTACTACTACTACTACTGCTGCTACTACTACTAATCAGTCTTTAGCAACCCATGCTTGCCGGAAAAAGCGACTATGCTTGTCGTAAGAGGCGACTAACGGGATCCTGTGGTCACGCTCGCTGACTTGGTTGGTGGATGTCATCGTATTCCCAATTGCGTGGATCGTTGCTCATGATGTCAGTCACTGGATTGTCTGGTTCAGACTCGATAATTTACAGACTGCCGTCATATAGCTGGAATATTGCTGAGTGAGGCGTTAAACAACAACAACAAAAAAAAAAACATAACAAAATACTACTAATCGTGAGTCCGGTGAGAAAGAATTATTCCTATGATCGTGGGTTCGAATTCCCGATTCCCGAAGTTTGTCAGCACCATGGCACAAGATCGTGGATTTCACCAAAGTTGTTAAAGTTATCTAAGACCCGCATCACTTTCGGCCTTCCCAAATCACACCCCATATTGTATAACTGAAATACTGTTAAATACGACAAATAGTCAAACTCACTCTCATTGGCACAATTGTCAATGAATGCCTTTATGTAGATATTTGCCACAAAGAGAATATTTCACGAGTCTCTGTTTTGCACTGATTTTAGGCAAGAGTGTCCGAGTGTTTCAAGAGTGTTTCAGCGGGCTGCATCATAAATGTAACAATCCAATTTTTATCCATACTTAACCTTGTGGTTTTAGCGAAGGGGCGAAGCAGTGTCTTTAAGCTAAAATGGCCAACATGACGTCATTAATCGTACGTTGTTCCGTCATTGTTTTTGTGACTACAATGGTCTTTCCAGTTTTCTTATTCAGTGCATAAGAGTATTTGAAATCCTTATTGGTGCTGGTTCTGAACCTTACATCTATGACCACAAACAAAAATAGTTGGCCAGATATTTTGCCAATTCAATGGTTTGACGAATGACATTATCAACATGATAAACACTAAATCCACCATTTAGATTCCTGGTTAGAATTTGACCCCAGCGAGACATGGTGGTCGTATGAGGCTGAGGCATCCTAACTTTATGACAATAATCTTACATTAATTACATTCGTCTTGTAACATCTCGCTGTACAGCTGCAAGGATCTGCTGGTTGGTGTTCATGGTCTTGTTAATTAAGCCGAATACAGTCCTGGAAACCATTCTGGCCTCACTTTTCTTGTGAGGCCCGTGAAGATCCGGGGTAGAGTAGGTCTTCAGAACCCATGCTTGCCGTAAAAGGCAACTATGCTTGTCGTAAGAGGTGACTAACGGGATCGGGTGGTCAGGCTCGCTGACTTGGTTGATGCATGTCATCGTATCCCAATTGTGTGGATCGATGCTCATGATGTCAATCACTGGAGTGTCTAGTCCAGACTCGATTATTTACAGACCGCGGTCATATAGCTGGAAGATTGCTGAGTGCGGCAAAAAACAAACACTTTCCTTGTAATCCAATCTGGACCAGACAAACCATTGATTGATGTTACGTACAGCTGATGTGATGCACAATATAACACCAGTACTTTTATACCGGGCCGACTGTATGTCTGTAAGCGTGTTGTTATTAAATGTTAAGTTATGAACTTAAAATAATGGGATGTTAGACTAAGTTGGTAAATATCCTATTCAATTATGCAAAGTTTTGATATGCATCAAATATTGATTGCCTCTTATCAATAGGCAGGAATCTTGTTTACCCCCAATGTTATAATGTGTTTATCTTTGTACGTTGAACAAGGCCATGTAAACTGGGTAACGAAAACTAACTCTTATTGTTTTTTAATTAGAATTTTGTGATGTCTGCCTGTCCCTTTCAAATATGGTACTAAAACTGCATTTTTGAAAATGGTACATGTGCTTTAGCGGATTTGTTTTACAGTTTTTGCATTGTGATTTATCTGAAAGTGTTAAAAGAGCTCTCTATCGACATTTTAAAATATCCATTTCATGTGAGAACTATTTGAATAGTATTACCGTAAATAAATTAAGGACAACATTGACTCATTGATCGCATTAAGTTTTCACAATTTAGAAACTGAATGTGGTCGCCATTTAACTATTCCTTGCCCTCGCAAAAAATCAAAAGTTCACAACGTACAACTATATCGAAAATGAATATCCCTTTTTCCAGATTTTAGTTCGAAACTTGAAACGGAACACCTTTCAAATGCAGTTAAGCTAATTTAACCGAGCATGTCCGATTTTACTATGCGAGGGCGTTGGATGTGTTCACGTTAACTTAGCCAACTTCGCACCTTTCCGCTAGAATTCTCGGCTGTGGACGTTGGGAATTTATCCACTGCCATACATGTACATATGCATAGGTATGGTTTGCGATATTTCTGGAGCGCTGAGGTCAGTTATGTTATACTCCCAGCCCAGAAGTCTTCTTAGCATTTGGTGTGTTTTTAAGCGTCAATCTGGTGAAAATGTGTTTTTACTTGTTTGCATCGTTGGATGTTTAACATAATGAAAAAAATAAACCTTAACATATTTCCTGTGTGAGATACCAATCTATGACCCGATTGTGTGCATAAATCTCCATAGAGAACAAACTTTATTACAATATAGGAGCCTGCGGAGTTGTGTCCAGTTATAATTATACATGGATGTGGTTAGTGATATTTGTGGAGCGCTTCGGGCAGTCAATTTTACCCCCACTTCAAAAAGAAGTCTTCTCAACTTTTTTTCTTTTTTTAGAGCATCCGTCTGGCGATTATTTAAATTTTTTTTTTTGCATCGTTGCATGTTTATAGTAATGAATAATATATATCTTAACATGTTTCTTGTCTGAGATTTCAATCCAGCACCCGATTTTGTGATGAAGAGTGATGACATTATTACAATGTCGGGGCATGCAGAGTTGTGTACAGTCAGGTGTGTCAGGATTCACTAAAGCACTTGAACCGAAACGTCGCTTTGAAAGAAGCTGACAGCCATATGTCAAGTCTTCATTCTCAATACTAAGCGCCTTCTGTATGCTATCTTCAATTAGCTTTGCGGATAATTTTGATGCAGTAGGAAACCCGTTCAGCAAGGCGGGTTTTATTCATTCCCGGAAACAATGGTATAAAACATTTAGCTATATAAGCTAAGTTTTGATCATGAACCTACATTTTTTCAAAAAGAGCAAGATTGATGATGAGCCTGATGAGACTCGTACGTGGTACTAGTTGAAAGCGCCAACCAATTAAGACTGTGTTCAATCTTACTCCACTTATGTAATTATTACTATATTGTGCGTGAGAGTTAGAACTTTACTGTGCTCTCTCTCTCTCTCTCTCTCTCTCTCTCTCTCTCTCTCTCTCTCTCTCTCTCTCTCTCTCTCTCCCTATATATATATATAGGGAGAGACATACATGTGTGTATATATATATATACATGTATGTCGTTTTAGAGTCTCTTATAGTAAGATGTTCCCGTGGTTTTTTCAGGGGAACAATTTACTTGCCTTTGCTTGTGTTTGTGACGGGAGCCACCGGTGAGGTAGGATACGTTCAATGTTCTCGAACACCTGGTACTATCATTTTTTGATAGTGTTTCATAAACGCATGCTTATGATATATTCGGAAGCGTACAGTCGACTCTGCATTTTGCATTGTGGAATGAATAATGTCGCTGTTGCTTATTTGAATTATGTACACCCACATGTAAAGTATGTACATTGTTATTTGAGCCGGAAAATACTTATTCTTCTCGAGGATTGAACTGCTTTTTGTGACAGTGAAGGTTGAACTCGACGAAGCTTTACTACCAGAACAGAGTAGTCGCCCTTCCACCGCGTCAGTCTTATTGTACCAGCTGAGCATGTCTTGTGGGTTCAGTTTTCATCGTTTCGTTTTTGCCACGGAAACACCTAGCAGCTTTCTGATGCTGTGTGTACATCAAAACATTAAACAGGATAGTAGTTTGTGGGAAATACGAGAGTTTTGTCAGAGGTTACAAATCACAATAACAGGCTTCTGATGAAACCAGGAGATTTGACGCTTCACCGCGTGTGAATTCATACATACTATGCTATGTTCACAGTTCGTATGTCATACCAGTCTTGTAAACACGTGTTTGGAGTTGTGAAGCGTCCATGATATTGATAATATGTAAAATGTACATAGATCCGGGGTAGAATAGGTCTTCAGCAACCCATGCTTGCCGCAAAAGGCGACTATGCTTGTCGTAAGAGGCGACTAACGGGATCTGGTGGTCAGGCTCGCTGACTTGGTTGATGCATGTCATCGTATCCCAATTGCGGGGATCGATGCTCATGAGGTCACTAGATTGTCTGGTCCAGACTTGATTATTAACAGATCGCCGTCATATAGCTGGAATATTGCCGAGAGCGGCGTTAAACAACAAACAGACAAAAACAAAAATCACCACTAAGTCTCGTAACACAGCCAGTGCGTTATCCGTTGCTGAGTCTTTTCCATGAATGTCATCTGACAGAAAAATAGGCGTCACACATTGTACCCATGTAGAAAATCGAACCTAGCCCTTTGTCGTAACGCTTTGACCATCAGGCCACCTGGGTCTCCTTCTCCCAAGTAATACTATGCAGCCAGATATCAGAAGACTCTATATCCGTTTAAACTGCTGTATCTTTATTTGCCGCAGTAGGATGTAAGATTGTTGAGCTCAGATTCCATAGCAGCAGGTACAATCTATCTTTCAGCTATATCTGGGAGTCTTGTAAGAGCTGGAACTTGAGAGAGAAAGCCGATGGTTGGTCAAGTGAGCAAACCGATCCATGTCGTCGAAGTGAAAGTCAGTTAGTTCCTGTGGTAATGCATCAATTGATCTTTTCCTCCTGAAGATTTTCGAGAGCAGACCGGGTTCGCAAATTTCAAACTGAACTTGGCTTTAGCCTTTTTGTAGAATTGGCACTGTCAAAGGATTCCCCCGATTCTGTTAAAAACGTGCTTTTTTTTAATGAAGGTAAAAAAAGAACCGATCTAATTAATGAACAAAATTTAAGGAAATGATCTTGGAAGTAAAAGTTGCACCAGATGAGCTTGGTGTCCGATTGATTTTAATCACATAATACCAAGACAGCATGTATCAAATTCCCTGACAAACCGAAAACTGTTC